TTATTCTGGCATATAAACATGGTGGTATTGTAACTTTTGTGTTATTTAACAGTGAAATTTATAAACAAAACAAAATTTACATCTGTGAAACTTCCCTAAGAGTTATATGAAACCTGAATAGTCTTTTTAAATTTAAGTATTCTGTTAATGTTTTGTTCTACTGTAAAATACTTTTTTTTCTAAGATGTATTTATTAGTTAAGAGCTTTGGCCCAATTTGTAAAAGGTATATTCTGATTTATATCTCATTTCTAATGAAATTAATATTTTTACCCAATCCTAACTTTACAGGTGTTACGTTATAGTAAACATGTAATGCCACATCTTGCCCGACTTTGCCTAGTCAGTACTTTCATTGAAGATGGTATAAGGATGTGGCTACAGTGGAGCGATCAACAGGACTTCATTAAAACAACTTGGAATTGTGGATGGTTTCTAGCATCATGTTTTGTGTTATTTAATTTGGTGGTCCAGCTCAGTGGATCTTCCATGGTTTTGATTCGCCAGAAGGTGGAAGTAGCATGTGGACTACTGTTTTCCATTGTGGTATTGCAGGTAATATTTTCAGTTGCATGTTTTAATGAATAAGAAATCTTATCATATAATTTAATTTCTAATATTGTTTGCAAACACTTTAATATATTACAGTTATCCCCTTATTGCCAATATTTTGTAAGGTTTCCTTTTATCCCTGTATTTTTGTCTAAAACAGCTTTGTGTGTGTGTGTGTGTGTCAAAAATCTCTAATTGACACTTTACCCTATTTTCTCACAAAACATTTTTAGTAATGAGTGGTACTAGAGTTCATGTACTTATTCTTATGGCAGTGATTCTTATGACACTAAATTTCACAGTTTAATACTATCTTCTATTATGATAGTACTCAGTTTTTATCAATCCTGAAAGTGGATGCACACCTTACTATCTCGCACACACACACTTTATTTTAACAGATGCAAACAGAAGGTGGATGTAAATATATTTTAGTACACATTTTGCCCAACATCAAATTAAAAGCTTATCAAAGTTTTTTAGAAGGTCTAAAGTTAGATTGTAGAATGATATTATAAGTTTATTTATTGATAGTATTAAGTACAGCACAGGTTAACCCTAACTAAACTAAAGCAAAAAAACGTACACAAGTTACAGTGTTAATTTAGCTTGTCATAGTACGAGTTCATTTGATACCCAAATTAATGAAACATATGAATATCAGATGGCTGACCCTAGTACCAGTACTGGAGCATATTATCACGAAATGTGATGCCAAAAAAAAAATATATATATATATATATATATATATACTTAGATACTTAAATATTTGCTTGCTGTCAAAAATGTCACTGGTTGAGCTGAAATTTGTTCTGTCCTTTGATAGTCTTCTACAAATATTCTTCCAAACTGATGCTCCTTTTGTTCTGTATGATGAACTTAGAGCTTGTGTCATGGAAAAGTTTTCTGAATCAATGTAAAAACACGGGAAAGCCCTAAAGACTGTTACAGCAAGACAGAGAATGATCTTTTCTCCATTGACATGGAATTAGCAGAGGCAACAAGAAGGGCATAATCAAAGCTGAAATGGGATCAGTGTAAAACACTTGTATTAGGCATGAAATGGTTTGTCAACATTACGAAGCACTTACTCTCACTGGTACCTCTAGACATTTAAATATTTAAAGACTTTGCAGATCTGTATCAATTTCTTCAGAAATTGAAACGTGGAGTTGTGGTATACAGACATACGATACATTTCCTGCCTTCTTATTTTAATTTAGATTTTTGAAATTATTTTTTATGCTAGGTATGTACAGTTGTCATATAACACATGGTCAAAAAAGCATTAAATTGATTTTCTTCTAATTTTCATTGTCATTCCTTGAAGATAGAACCTGATCTTCCCATGGGTGTATGTCTGTAAAACTACTCCTTGTGCCTGAAGGTTGACAGCAGTGTACTCCATTGATAGATCAGGTGATATCTCGAGGATGTAACTTCCTTTATTTTTCAATGGGAATCACCAGTTTAGTAAGTAACACTAGTCACCTTGGGTAGGCCTGACATTACAGACTACATGACACGAGGTTTACTCAATCCTGTCAGACTTGAGCTTTGTTACTAGCAGAGTAGCTCAAAAGTTAATGTTTGTAATCTTGCTCTTTTGTATTTACATTAATTATAAGAATTTATGAGTGAAAGTAAAGGATATGATATTATATAAAAGTCAATATAACTGGTATATTCAGTGTCGATGAGCCTTTTGCCAAATACTAGGGCTTGCGAAATAGTGGTCAAGGTACTATTTATATCATCAGTTGTTTGGTGGGAATAGACTAATGAACTGTAATTTTCATCACTTTATTGAAGTATATCTAACTGTTTTGATTATGTTGAGGTATTACAGGATGGCTTGTATCAATTGGTTCTTTGAAAAAAATATTTGACAAATGATCTTTAGTTTTAGTAAATGGCAAGGTAATACATTTTGATAATCATAATTTGGAGCACAAGTTTAAATAAATAGAATCACTCAATAACATTGTGGGAAAAGTCACTCAGGTTATCAAAGAAGTGCTTTATCGCTAGTAGAATTTTATAGTGTATTTATAAATATATATTGGTTGAAAGTCAAAAAATGTAATTATCTCTATAAAAGTCACTAGTCAGGCCTCACTTGGGATACTGAGTATAGTTTTGGTTTTATTGTATAACAGAGGGGTGATATTGAAATTTTTAAAAAGGGGTTCAAAAGAGAACTACTCGGATGATTCCAGGGATGGAGGGATTATCTTGTAGAGAAAGATTAACATTTCTAAATTGAAAAGAAGAGTAAGAGGAAATATTATTGAAGTTTGCATGTGGGACTGATAGGATAAAGACCTTAGGTTTCTTTTGTGCTGTATTCTGAAGGTGATAACATGAAAGGATGCAAGTTTAACTTTTGGTAAAGACCTTCTAGACTTAACATAAGACTATACTATTTTTCTCACAGAGTAGTTCTCTTGCATAAAGAGTTACTATCGGAAGTTCTGGAGGCCAGCACTTTACATGAGTTTAAGAGGGAAAGTGATGATTCCTTGAAAAATAAAGAGTGGATTTAAATTTTTAGTTTTCTCAAGAATGACTGTACAAGGACAACTTAAAAACTAAATGGCCCTTTTTTTTGTCAAGTTTTTAATGTTATCAACATACTCTAGTAAAGCTGGCTTGTAATCAATGAAATAAAATAATTTCAATATCATTAAGTGGACCTATTTTTTTTTTTTCCATTTTCTTTTTACGATATAATCTAAAAGAAAACAACAACAATAGAAACAATTACAGCAACACTTTTATCTGGCTGCTACTTCCCTACCTCCATGGGTACATATCTATTTCACTATTTCTGATAGCTGTTCTAGGTTATTTTGTAAGCTGGCCAGCATTAATCTGACTGTAGCGACTATATTCATTGGTGCTGACCTATTTTAATTAATCCAGGAATATTTCATTTATGTTATGTCTTCTGTTAGGATGAATAAACTTGGTATCTATCCTTGTTTCAGATAAGATAATTTGTTTCCTTGTTGAAAACTGTTGCCATGAGAATGTTCAGATGAATTTCTTTGTACTGGTTGTAGTTGAAAAAAAAAAACATTGATAGGTTTTCACTTAAGTGACACTAGAAGGCTTTTTTGAATCATGGTTACAATAAATAATCTTTAAATTTGTATTGAATTTCTTCAGTTTCTCCCATTTTATAAAATGGTATGATGTAAAAGCTTCCTCAGTATTACATCAAAGACATATGAGCAATGACTCAGCTCTGCACAGCCCTGGCAGGATAAGAAAGTTAAAATACAAAGTTTTTATTCAAAATGTACATGTTAACAAAAAAAATACATGATGTTGCCAGTAAAACTGTGTAAAAGAACAATGTAAGATTATACCATTTCAACAATATTAGACTTGGAACTATTATAGTGACTGTGGATGGATTGTGTTTAGTGAAGAGACTCTTCATTTTCTCAAACTTCACACTTTCTATACTTAAAGAATAGGGCTTTCTAGTTTTATTATGTAATATTTTCTTTCCAAATTAAAAATTAATATATTCTTCTCCACTGATAGTATAGAGTACGTGTTCATGTAAATGCATTTAAATTTTTAGTTTTTAAGATATCTGCTTAGAATATGTGAAACATTAATCAGAAATTTTCAATCCTTGTGGAAAGCTCATTACAAACTCATGAATAACAATGGGTATAATTTGCATACTTGTTTCAATAGTCCTTTCAGAATTAAAATCAGAGAAGACAAAAATATCAAGCCATATTAGGTACAGTGAATCAGTAAAAAAAAACAACATAGATATAAATTAAGAGTTTTCTAAAATGTTTTCTGGGTTTAATAAATTAAACAGCTCACAGGTTGAAGAGAAGAGGTATACTGAATGTTGTTGTAAGGTTGTGTTTAGATTTCCAATAACTAGACTATCATTATTGATGAACTTGTATGATGTTTGTCTGTTGTAAATGTATGTATAATTGTTGAATATGGTAATTAAGGTGGCCTGTTCGAGTTGCATAGCTTTTGGTTTATAAAGTATTTTTTCTAAATAAAGAGGGCATTACATTTTTTGGTGTAATTAATTCTGTTTTCTATTGACTTCAGTCTAATATAAAAAATTTGGCTTATTTTTATATTGACTGCTGACATACCAATAGTGAACACACATTTGTCTACTGTAAAATTGTTTTGTCTGACTTTTAAATAACAAGTTGTGGGTGGGCTGTTATTTCATTATTTTCAGAAAGTTTTATAAAGTTTTTTTTTTTCTACAAGCTAAACTGTGAGCACTTAAAATATTTTAATTGTTTTTAGTTTCTTTTTTTTTTTGTTAATTTTTACTGCTTTAGATTTCTTAAGAAAAAGATCATTAATATGACAAATAATATACAGGAAGCTATTTTTTATTAACCTTTAGAAGAACTGAATGTATATATATTTTTTTTAATATTTTGACTGTAAATTGTTCCAAGTGATTCTACAGCTTTTTGTTGTTGTTTTTTTTTTTGTTTTAACTTTAGTTTCATCTTGTAGAATTCATCAAAGTCGTACAAGTCATAAATATAATTTATCTACAGATTTAACACTTAATGCCTTATTTATTGCTTTACAAAACTCTGATTCATTCTTTAGATTTTATTTCTTCAAATTATTTGAACAAAATGACAGTAGTATGTATACTCATTGCAGAATTAGTCCATTATATAAATTAATTGATCACCTTTCAGTATGTTCCAAACGTTTTGGAATAAACCTTATGATATTGTAGATTTGCCTTTTAAATTTAATGAGAAAATAGTTTTAACTCTTGGTTTGATTTATTACTCCTGCTAGTTATTTAGTCATTTCCGAGCCTTTATTGAAGTGTGGGTAAACCTGTGCTGTGTCCTTTCACTAATTTATTTGATGGTATGATAACTTGTATTAGCAATTTAGCCTTATCCTTCCATGCCAACAAATTAAAAAAATAAAATACAGAAGCTTTCTGTTAAAATGTACAAAGTTTTTGTTAATCTTGGTAAAAAATTAAATATATGTAGTTACAATTAATCCAGCTAAAGGGAATGGCATAGGAATGATTATATTACTGAAATAAATGATAGAATAGGAGCTACAAGTAAATGTGTTATATTAAGTGTTTATTATAAAAGGAATAGGAGCTACAAGTAAATGTGTTATATTAAGTGTTTATTATAAAAGGAATAGGAGCTACAAGTAAATGTGTTATATTAAGTGTTTATTATAAAAGGAATAGGAGCTACAAGTAAATGTGTTATATTAAGTGTTTATTATAAAAGAAGAAGTTAATGAATAAAGATAGTGTTATATGAGAAAATATTTTCAAGCAAATTTATCTAGTTGGATTCCATGAAAGGATTTTATACTTTCTGCCTAAATTCTGTAAACCAGATGGTCCAGTTTTCTAGTTTCTGAGAATATACAATTAAAGACAATTTTAAGTTTTCTCTCTCATGCTGTTCATACAGCTAGTTTTAATGTTAAATCATTGTACACTAGTATTCCTTTACAAGAAACTATTCATCTTTATATTGATCTGATTTTGTTTTCTTCTGAAGTGGTTAATAGCCTATTTAAATATGTACGTGCTTTTCAAATTAATATCTTTTGCTGTTAAAGTCTTCTTAACTTTTATGGAAGTATTTATGATCAAATAGATTGTTAGTATCAGATCTAAATTTGCATCAGCTATGAATATTTTGAGCTGCCATCGAGACTGGCTATCGGACTGTCCTGAACTTTAAACGGCTTTGTTAAGGACACTACGTAGATGATACATTTGTTATTTTTGGCCAAAAGAAATTGTAGATAGATCTATTTTATAATTTGAAGGATAAGTATCTAAATATTGAATTCATTTTTTAGCAAGAATATTATTATAAATTGCCATGTTTAGTCTTTGATACATAATGAACAAAGTGGTTTTAAAGTGAGTGGTTATAGTACATTATCATTTTCTAGACTCTATGCACTATGCATATTTTAAAGTTTTGTACATATGGCTTTTAAAGTTAATTTGGTAAGAGTTTTTCTTACTTGTGCACATGCACATTTAATGAATTTTTCACTATATTTATTGATAACATAGTCTCCAAATATTGTTATCATTCAGGTATAGACCAAAGAAACCAAGTAACTGTTTTATGTATGCAGAACAACACTATTATTTGTAAAGGAAAAGTTAATTATCATCTTTGACAGAGCTCTGTTTATTTTGCTCTTACTTGGCTGTTCTGACTTCTTTTTCTTTGGTGTCATTTTCAGCTTTTTTTTTCTTTGTTTTTTTATACAATGGATTTTTTTTAGAGGTATTATATATTGTTTACCTCTAACCTGAAGACACATTCTTTATCTTATTTTTATATCTTTGTTTTGCATTGATTTTGTGAAGAGATTATGTTGGAGGTTTTTATTTATTTTTACTGGTATCTAATGATGCCAATTGTAATGAACTTCTGCACTATAGAAGTTATCTATCAATACTAATGGAGAATATCCATTTGTAAATTTGATGAAATTTGTGTGGCTAAACACTGAAAATTAATAATTGTGTTAATAAACCTTCTATGTTTAGTAGACTCTTAAAAAAAATTTGAATTCAAGCTTGATTTGGAATATAATGTTATAGGCTTAAGGATTCATACTTTTTTTATTCTTTGTTTGTTTTAACCATAAAATATTCAACAATAAAGATACTTTTATTTTGTTAACTTCTTTATAATAAAGTTGTTTTTATTTCAGACATTTGCCTATAACCTTGTCTGGAATGTTCAGTTTCTACTAAGGTAAGATTGTTCATTTTTAACATAAAATTATGGTCTGTCTTTATTGCGCTTATTTCAATATCTTATCTTAAATTAAAACAAGTGTTGATGTTTCTTGCATAATAGGCTTCCACAAATAGAACCTAGTATCTTCTTCTGTTGTACTTGGGGTTGATCTTAAAAACTATTTATTATAATCATATTCATGGTATTTTTATTGTACAGAAAGCCATAACTTCATAACAAATTAGTATATGTATGGTGTTTTTACTCACCACACTAAACGCAGTGGAATTCCCCAAAATTGGTATAACTATGATGAATGGGAATCAAATGATAGACTGGGCATCATATTTATTTTAAATAAATTATGCTGTTACTTTTATAGAAATAGTGCTTTAAATGTGTTTTGGAATGTGTGTTAAAATGCACCAGGATGCAAAATTTTATTTAGAAAAAACATCTCCTATGATTATTTTGTTGTGACTTTCACTTTACAAATTTGTTGTGAACCAACTAAACTGTAGGGTTAGGGCACCAATGTTTAGAACTTATTGGAGCAACGTTAGACTAGGTTGGAAAGGTTGAGTGAGTATATAAAACTGAAAAATCTGAGTTTTGCTTGATAAAAGAAGGCCTATTATGTCATTAAAAACTGATTGAACAGGAATCTTGCGTGTTTATGTTTTTTCATGCACATCTATTTGGTTTCAGCAAATCTATTTGGTTACCACAGAAGATAATAAAATTATTTAAAACTAAAAGTTAGAAACTAAACTAAATGTGTTTTTATCATTTTTTAACAAGTTTTATCACCTGCTGTGTTCTTAATTGAATCCTTAAGAAGTAAAATACTGTAAGTGACCCTAAGATGGTTCAAAATTTAATTTACAAAAATCCTGTCCACTACCACCACAAACACAGTTTTTCTCAGGTCTTCCTTCAAGTTTTTAGCAGATTATCAGCTAAAACATAGGATATAAACTAGTTGGTAATTAGTATCTAGTAATAATAATAATAAAAGTGCTAAATAATTAGACATACTTAATTGTATAAGTTACCAACCATGACAGTCATTGTACTTGCTCAAATTAGTAATGTACACTTTGATTTGAACTTTTATCTAATTTCTCAGTTATTTAAAGCACATATATATATCTTTTTGTTCTTTTCCCACTTTCTTTCCAGAGGTCTTTCTCTGATCGGTGCTCTTTTGCTTCTTCTTGCCGAAAGTAGAGTTGAGGGAAAACGACTATTTGCTGGAGTACCAAGTCTTGGAGAAAATAAACCACGAAACTATCTGCAGCTTACTGGTCGAGTTTTACTGGTCTTTATGTTCATGACAGTCTTACGTTTTGAGGTGTCTATTATTCAGATAATCCAGAATGTTGTTGCTTCTGCATTGATGGTACTTGTCACTGTTGGTTACAAGACCAAATTATCAGCTCTTTTTCTTGTCGTTTGGCTCTCTGTTTTGAATATTTACTTAAATCCCTGGTGGTCAGCACATTCATATTTGGCTGACTTTTTGAGATATGACTTCTTTCAAACATTATCTGTGGTTGGTGGACTACTGATGGTAGTATCCATGGGTCCAGGGGGGGTAAGTATGGATGAGCACAAGAAAAGATGGTAGGACCCTTTAATTTGAAGGTTTGGCTGTTTACTTCGTATACAAAAAAAATCCTTTCTCCAGAAATGCATGATATTACTGCCTGGGTATTTTCTCTGTTGTTTCTTTTATTAAAACATTTCTTTTTATTAAGAAGGAAAATGCATCTGTTGAAAAGTAAAGGGACTTGCATGGCTTTTTATTTTAGTAACTGATATTTCTACCAAAGCCTCTATACCTGATGTTTAATAAAATATGAGTCACAAAGGAGATTTTATTTGTTATGATCCAATCCAATATTTTTAAAAGGGGAATGATCTTCCAAGCAATGTCATTTACTTTATTACAGAGAATTCTATGAAACAACTTATTCAAAAAAATTTGCAATTAAGTCCAGCAAAACCTCAAGAAAAAATATTATAAATTTACAAATAAGTCTTTTGATATGCAAATAATGCATTTTGTGTCAACCATGGAAAGCCTAGTTTGTCGTTCTAGAGGGGGGGGATAAAAATTTAATTGTGCAAATACTTGATTATGCAAAATGTGCTAATTATTTTCAATTTTCCTACGGTTGAGACTTTCCACTCAACATAACTACTAAACCCATCTTCAGCTATATCATGTTACGGATGTAATTAGGTAACAGTGTTGCCCATCGACATTTTTATACTGGTTCTTATGACCACTGATAATCTTAAAATATTTCTTATCAGTTAACACTAAACTTTTAAGTGCAAATAAGTAATTTTTTACAATATTATTTTCTCGGATGAATTGTAGCTTTCAACTGTGTAATGGTTTAACTGTGAGCCATCATCATTGTGAGGGAATGTGATTATATTTCTGTATTAATTAACTATCAAATATTGAACCACTTCCCCCAATTTAAATCCTAACCTGTGTGCTTAAAAGTATTTAGATAAACTTTGTTTTAATAATTGCATTGTAATTTGGAACCTTCAAAACATTTTTGGCTTTATTTTTAAAACTTTATTTTATGTTTAGTTTAGTTAAGAAGTCTTCTTTTTGTGGTTAGGTTATTCTTTTGACAATAAATGATCCACATCACAACTTATAAACTCTTAAACTCTATTTTATTATTGTTCCTATTAAACCAAAATAACTGTCTGTAAGGAAAAGTTTTAAATTTTCTTTATTGTGTTTCATTTGAATCTGATTTAAAATATAAATACTTCAAGTGGTATTCTCTTTGTATGGGCAGTCAACTTGAGGAAAGTCAAATAAACTTTCTAGTCATCTCTATGTGTTGTCGGTGATTTTTCATAAGTAATTTAAATTTGCAGAAGTATTAAGGCTAAAATTCAAGGTACCTGTGTAAATATAATTAATTAACGCACTCAAATAATCAACGTTTTGATGTACAATCACTTCATCTTCAAGATTTTTATGGGTCAAAATTTTTAGTGTCTATTTTGAGATCATTGATGTTCTCAGAATAGTTTTTTTAGAAATTGTGTACTTGAAGAACTTTAATCATTTAAATATTTTAATGATTTGCAAAATTATTTATGAAAATATTAACAGAGTTTGTAATAATGAATGTTTCTCCTGATATTTTGTTTGTTTGTAGTTAAGCCTAAAGCTACACAAAATTGGTTATCTGTACTATGCTCAACACGGATGTTGAAACACAGTTTCTAGCGTCGTATGTCTCTAGACGTATTGTTGTGCCACTGGGGTACCCTGATATTTTTAAAAGGTGATTTGTAGTATAATTTTCAGACATGGCACTAGTTCTGAAAAAAAAATAATAACATTACAATATCCAACTTGTATCAAAGAAAAACTAGTTTTTCTGTATATTTTAAGTGGCACAGTATGAAACTGAATTAATTTATCATATAAAATTCATTAAGTAGAAAAACATATTGCAGACTCCAATCTGCAACCATAATTTTTAATGTATTTCTTTATTCCAAGCGTATGACTTTGGTTTAAAAGTTTCTCTAACCAAAATCAACCTGGAAGTGTGAGTTATGAAAAGAAAAAAATACCATAAGTTCAAAGGCTACATTTATAGTCCATATCTTATATAAAGGAAATGTTTATAATCGTACAACTGTTCAATCAAAAAAAAATTACTGACTGAGCAAAAAGTGATTTACATAAATTTTTGCTTTGGATTGGTTATATGTAAAAAATCATTTTCCATCACATTAATCTAGAGTTTTCAGTTTTCTAATAGATGTAACTAAAAACAACAAACTACTGAACACATTAATCACATTTCCTGGACTAAAATTTAAAAATGTGTGTGTGTATCTACATACATACATACTTGTATATTTCAATTATTAAGGACCTATAATAACCCATATTAGACTTGGATGAAAATTTAAATAAAACTAGTCACAGTTATGACAAATTATTTATGATGTACATCCTTAGAGTGTCATAATTCCTGAAATGGCGGTTGCTGATGTAGGTGGATGTATATGTTAATCAGAATATATTTGTAGCGTAATTCCTTTCGTACAACAGAGTCGACAAACATATTCGGGTGTATTTATTGTGCATTACATCATATCCATTCCAAATACAGTTTAACTGTATGTAATCTTCCCAGTACTTGAGTTAACTTTGCTGTTATTTAGTCACAATATTTATCAGCAATAGATCAATCCTGATTAGTTTCATCAAGTATGTGCTACTCGTTTGATGTTTAGAAGGTCAAGGATGTGTCCTGGTGACTGGAAGTCTAGTACCATGAAACAAATGGAATGTGAACATTGACCACATCTAAGTAACAATGGCAATACCAGTCATATTCAATGACCTACAGATATTGTTAGGAAAATAATCATTTGGCCAGGATTATGTTCTTTCCACTTCCTAGTACTTCATGGACTCATTTGTAACATTTGTCATCTCTGTTCATCAATACATATAGCTAACATCATCCATGTTGATCAGATGTTTCAAGATCATAAACATGTGTTAATTCTTTTACACAGGTAAAAACTACATACTGTGACAGTTATTCTTAAATTTTAAGCTAACTTTTATGTTTTCACATGAATATCTTGGAAGTTAGTTTATTCGAACAGGTAATGCATAAATCTGTACACCTGGCTTGAATTAAGGTTTCATATAGATCGTTGATTGAAGTAATTAATTAAATTGTGAATTTGTTTAGTTAGAGTATTTACGTCCAAATCCATTATTTCTATAGTTCTTCTTGATTTTGGCCTCTTGCTCTTGTCAACACCAGTAGCCTTACAATACGAAAGAAGTCTGGTCAGTTTAGGTGACGTAAAACTTTTTTTTTAAAGTAAAGAATTGTGTTTCAAACTGCACTTGCGTGTGTGCTTGTTTTCATCTGGGATATATAAATATATCGTGTTTTCTACCTTCTTGTTTTAATATTAAAAAAAAAGTCAATTGTTCAGGTATTTGCAGTTTCCACATAACATACTGGTCAACAAGATTTTTAAGTTCCTTTTGTCTTAGCTACCTTTTGCATGAAAAGGCACACCTGGCAATGGCCTCTGCAAATAAAGAATACATATTGGTGGATAAATTAATCTTGGGACTTCATGGATAAGTGATAGATACCACTAGGAGTGAGATATATATCACCCTAACAGAGCTGGTTTCAAGATGCGATGTAATAACTTTAAATTGGTTGCAGGAGAGGAAGAATCCTGCGGTTGCAGTAGCTATACCTCGGATAGGCTTTCCTTTTGGAAGAAAGGAGCAAAGCATTTGCTTTGCACATGGAATGTTTGGTCACTATAAAGTGAGCTGCCTGTATTTTGCCATGCATCAAAGTAAACAAGGTTATTGGGTTCAACAAACAGTTCGGCAAGTCCAATAAGAGTCGAAAGCTAGTGCTAAATGCTGCTGCTATAGCTCCAGAAAAATAATGGAGCTCAAGTCTGATCTGGACTCTTGACTTGCGAGGAGCATAACAGTCATCTTACACTGAAAAGTTTGGTCAACTGGGTTGTCTCATGGCTGGGTGAAGCTTGATGCATACTTGTAAAGGTACAAGGTGAGAGATCAAGTTGCTAGTAGACAAACACGCAGAATGTTGGTAAGCATTGCAATATATCAAGCTCTTAAAGTTAGACCACCACTCAGGCCAGTGGATACTGACTTCGTTCTGGCAAATGACAATAAACTAGAAGTAAATGAAGTGAAATCCAAAAAAATGGCTATGGTAGTTATTACTGCTCCTGATTCTGGCACTGGCATCCGTGGAATAGACATAATATGGATTCTATCGGTCAGTTTTGCCTGTGCAACAGGTGAACTGATGATTCATGGGAGAGTCATCCAATACCCGCCATATGAGTTCGAGAATAATGGATTGCATGTGGGAGAGAAGGTTATAGTACACAAGAGGTGTTCCGTGGTTTACTGTGGATGAAGTTTAATGTGTTGGCACTGTGTAATAGATTATAGAAATAAGATGTTTCTTGTCCAGAAAGCAAACATTAGCTTATGCAGGTATCTGTCTAAAAATCAGTTATCCAACTTTCCATTGGAATGGTCAGAACATTAAAGAAAATTGGAGTGACTGAAGCTATTAGTAATTCTATGGTTGTGTCCATTACACTGAGAATGAGTACACGGATGTTAACACATCTGAGATTGTTGTTTGATGACTGTGCAGTGACAGAAACTCAGTGACTTGTTTAAATATGTTGATGTAATCATGGGACCAGGTGGCCAGTTGTGATGGACATCTATGACCTAATACCAAACAGATGCAGGGGATACGTGTCCAATTAAACAAATGCCATACAGGCTTCTTTTGAGCATTAGGGGTGTAGCCACTGTTGAGATACAGCAAATGGTAAAAGGACAGGATCATACAATCTTCAGAAAGTGCTTGGTCATCTACAGTAGTTATTGTCAGAAAAAATAGAGGTACGCCATGTTCTATGTTGATGCTAGATGGATGAACGCAATAATTTGTGTCAACACCTTTACTTTGCCTTGAACATATGAATGTTGGGTGGATTGGAAGGTTCCAATTGGTTTAGCACTTTAGATCTGGCAAGTCGAACTGAATCACGAGAGCAAATGTAAGACTACTTTTAACATGAGAGGTGACTTATATGAGCTCTGTATCATGCTACTTGGTTTGTGAACGAATACGTCACTCATGAGAGACCAATGGAGCTTACAATGAAGAAGCTGGAATAGGAGAAAGATCTAACCTATACTGATGTTGTTTCAGTGTTTGGTAACATATTCGAATATGTGGTTAAGAATCTGAAAACTGTTCCAGGAAAATGGAATTCCTAGATCATATTGTTGGTAAGAATAAAATTTCCTCAAATTCTGCAAAGATGCCAGCAGTCTCAACCTATGATCAAGCGAGAAGTCTACAGTTTCCTTGGTTTTGCGTCATACTACTAACAATTTGGGACCAAATGTATCAGTGGCATGAAGCTGCTTGCTTCTGGATGGACAACATCTTTTCCTGTGCTCATATGAGTTGGCTTATTCACTGCAAGGTCACTTACCTTTTCTACTGGAAATCATGTGACCTCTTATGTTTTGATGGAAATGGACATTTATGTGTACTGTGCAAGTCCTTCTAAATAAGCCTGAATTAACTAATTTAGATAAGTAACGTGAGATTTATTTAGATTTGGACTGGAAACTACAACAGTTTGTCTTGTCTCCGATATGAGCTCACCAATTGAGACAACTCTCTATTGTGGATGGTGAAATACATATTTTGACTGTTTGTGTTTGTTGAAACTCTTTAACCTAATTGTACATTTATTTTCAGTCTCTTTATTTCTCACGTACTCAGTCATAAAGTATAGAATTATTTCATAATAGATATCTTGATGAATTTCCTATTATTTAGCAGATTTATCTTGTCACTCTCTGGGGAAATCAGTTTTAACTGAAAATGCAACACCTCAATTGTCCACGTTAAATTTACTCTTTGTTTATTTAAATACACTAAGCCTGTGTTTTATGGGAACTTTTAATTTTTCTTCTGGATATCAGTGTACTGAATAACACTAGTTTCAGACAAATAAAGAAAGGCATTGTTCTTCCTGAAACAATAGTGTTAGTGAAGCCTTCTCTGGGAATATCACTAAATCTGGTCATTTAACTTTTCTAAGCTAGTTATGAGAGAAGCTTTGAATCTCCTCCATTGTGAATAAACTTAAATTTGCCTATCATTAAAGATGTCTCACAATTTCTACATACTGTTACGTCTCCGTTTGTTAATTGATTTTTTCGTAACTTCGTTCCGAGGAAATTTTAACGACACAAGTCTTTACTTAATAAAACTGGTTTATTCTTTCCGAATATAACTCTGCGATACACTTAACAATCGCGCTAAACAAACGCTATAGCAACGAACGTCTCTCGTGCTCTCTGACTGCAGTTCAATTACTCACCGTCTACCCACTCATTACATACCCATCTTTTATATACCAGCGTAACCTATTAGTAATTACTAG